GCACACACACACACACACACACACACACACACACACACACACACACACACATACACACACACACACACAAACAAACAAACAAGCATTCTTTTATGTTGTTTTATGGGCATGACCCAGCAAACTAACGATGTTTTCATACTCTTTTAACGCTTGTTAACGAGCCCACTCGGCACTTCATTCCAAGCCAATGGAGCGCTCGCTACGTACAAATAGGGCACTCTTTGTTTAATAAAACGATCCTTTTGAGTTCTTTCCAATCTAGTTCAGAAATTAGTGGGTGGCTCGTAGGCACGACTCGTAGGTCCTATCTTTTTTCTTTCCATTTGTTGTTTCTGTCTGTGTAATTCGGGTGTTGTTTTTTTCTCCTCGTTAAATTTAAGTCATTGTTGCAACACAGTTCTCTTTACTCAAACAAACCCTTAAACAGAAGGACACACAAATTTAGTAATTAGAACATGTATCAATCAAACTCACACAAAAGCACCCAAGATTTGAAACACAATCAGTGAAAGTTTCCAAAATCAGCGATCAATCCATTTAGGGTCATCAACCACCAGAGCTTTGTCCAAACTGACAACGACACACAGTCAGGCAGAGAAATATACATATCCACTAGGATCGTAAAAGGTCCTTTTTATAAATTTGGTATTTTTCCATATAAGACCGCGAACGTTCCTTTACATAAAGTTGAAATTTTTCCTTAAAAAACCCTTAACGTTCATTTTTGTAAAGTTGGGATTTTTCGATATAAAAATTTAACCCCATATCTTATTTTGATCACTCACAAAGGTCGCAAAAGATCTTTGTTACCCATAATTAACGTCTTTGAAGCTATGAATGCTGCAGTTCAATCTACTGACTTGTATTATAAGTATTACAGGCTCAGCCAAATTTAACTGCACCCGAATCACAAAACTTTATTTGAACCGTTCTGCCTTGAAAAATGCTACTTTTTACAACTTCCGGCGGAAGTTTTTATACCTTTGTTTTTTCGACATGGTGTTTTCATTCTGTTCCACTTACAAAAAATAAATATAATTAACGATGATGATGGATGTTTAATCTTAACATGAGTTTCAGGCGCGGATTAGGCCGAAGCTGGAAGCAAGGACAGACACAGGTGTTTAGATATTCATTTCCAAACGTATCTTCCTTATTCGGAAAAGATATATTTATTTCCAAATTCATGGTGTTGAACTATTACTAGAGTCTAGACCTAAATCTATATTATTATGATTAAATAATTGTATCACATAGATCTAGACTCTAATCGTGTTGATATTCACTACATCGGCACGTTTTGTTCATCTCCAACTGTTAAGCGTGAAATACCATAAATATTACACAATAGTATGATGTAATAACTTATATAATAATATAATTTTACCCACCCTAATTAACATCAAAGTTTAGTGTTAGTGCAGCCCTCTCTCAAACCAAATGTGGCTGAGTTTTGTAGGAGGGAGTGCTGCCATGTCTCTGACGGTAAGTCGTTCGTAAAAGAAGCCTATGTTCTGAACAGCCGTGCATGTTCTAGACTGCTAAAATAAATATTGACAAGATTTCAAAATGTTCTTTTTTTCTTCTTCTTCTTTTAAACAATACTCAAAATCTTTCCCCCATTATTTTTCATTCTTCTTTATCTTTCTATTTATTTTATTTTTCATTACAATTTTGTGTGGGTGTGTGTGGAGTACTTGATGCGACCCAGGCTACCCCTTACTCTACTTCCAGGGGTGCCCTGGAAATTTTACTTTGAGACCTGTTTCAGATCTGGCACTTGAGGATGAAAGTTAAAAAATCGTGGGTCAAGCGAGCTAGTGCCTCACAATGTGTGTGACCCTTATCTTGAGGGAGAGGGGTAGGAAGATTCTTGGTCTGGCTACAACAGCTATCAACATGGTGCTTGTCTTTCTCAGCCTGGCCTTGTTTGTAGCGGCATTGGCTATAAGGTGAGGTGCTTGTTAATGTTGTTACTATTTTTCTTTTTATCTAGTAGAGGTTTTACGGCGCTCGCAACTACATAGTGTCATAATATGAGCGCCAAGGGGTGGAAGTCTGTACATGGAATCGGGCTTACTCTGTTCACCTCTCTAGCTGTAACTGCACAAGTCTGTTTTGACTTTCTAGGCACTGCGGAAATAGCGGGTTACAAGAGTGCAAACATGCAAAAGAAGTAGAGGAAGATGACGGTAGTAAGGATTGGGGGAAAAAAAGCAGCAGTTCCATGTTGTAGTTCAGGCACAGTTATGAGCATGACATCGTTGAATCAGCACAGTTACAATTCTACGGCACATAAGAACGTGAAATGCCCCCCTTTGGGAATAGTCTAAGGCACTTCAGTCAGTGGCACTGCCCCGGGGCAGGGGGGGGGGGTGGAGATAATGTTGGTTGGTTGGTTGGAATAACACAGACGGGTGGTGAGTGGGAATTTAATTGGTAAGATGGGAGGTTGGGTTGTGTATGTGCGTGTGTGTGTGTGTGTGTGT